TGTTGTCAAAAGATTTACACTGCTCCACGCTTAAATTAACTCATTAATGCCAAATGATTTAATGCATTTTGACTTTCTTTGACGGATAAAAATAAGATATAAACATAAAAACTACCAGCACGTATTAGAATGTATCGCGATTTGTGCTGATTGAACTTGTTCTCCTTTATTTTCAATTTTCAATTTTGCTATTCACAGTTGCAATGACCTAAACACCCATATTCTGACAGCTTTCAATTTGCAGAAGCTATCGGTCACAGAAAATAAAAATTTTTATTAAACATTTTTAAACACATTATAATTACGGAATAATAGTAAGTTTAATAAGTAAAAAATCTTAAACATTTATTAAAATATATTTCAATATTAAGGTCGTGTGCGAGTTAGGCTAAGTTGCGTTCTAAATGAGGGAAATTCTAAGATGAGCAGATAATGTAGTGATGTGTCAATACGTGTTGATAAATGGCTAAATGTGTGCTGTGCAAAAAATCCTAAAAAATCTCCCATTTGATTTAGCATCAACTTAGCCTAACTCGCACACGACCTAAAAGTGAAAACGTTATTGCCGTGTGCGAGTTCAAGTAAATTGAGGTAAAGTAAATTAAAATTACTTTATCCTAGGGATTTTTCGCACTGCATTTATGTAAATATTTATATATTTATTTAATTATTGCAGTTATTTATTATATTTGGTTAAAAGTTTTCAAATTCATTTATTTACTTATAAAACATCTTATAAAATTTTTACAATGGTAACACCTAATTTACCTAATTTTTGTCTAATATACTCTACTCTAAATTCTGGTAAATAAAAACATTCGCTGCCATACCGACATAATTTTCTATTTACCTCAATTTACTCAAACTCGTACACGGTCTATATAAAGTTTAACATAACACGAAATGTTAATTTGCTAACAAAATTTTTTTTAAGCCAAAAAAATTGATATGGGGATTCTGTATTTGATTTGCAAGAGAATATTTAAGACCATATTTTCAAAACTAATTACCTCTTATGCAAAAGGTTCCCATTGTTTCCATTGGTCTCAACTCATTTAAAGCGACAAATGTCGAATGCAATCCTTAAAAATAAATTTCCTACAAGAGAAATTGACAAAATTTGATATATTTATCATATATACAAGCTATTTTACGTGCATTCACATTCATTACATTCACATAAGTAGTTTCAGCTGCATTGGAAACATGACATAACAGTAGGTTTGCGCCACGAGCTACTCGTAGTAAAACTCGAGTAAAATACAAATAAAGTACAAACTAAGAGCATAACACAAATAAAATGCCAGATTACGCTCATTACACGTATTTTCACGAATAAAATCTGATAAAAACAGCTAATAAAATAAATATATATATATACTTTGTATTTTAATAGTGAGTTAGAATTCTGTTTTCAGTTAGAGTTAGAATTCATAAAATTTTATTTTAAGTTTTTATTACAGACATAATGGATGAAGGAAAAATTGTATGCGAATTTTGTCTTGCATGTTCGTACGAACAAATCAAATCTATATGTATATGTAATCATATGTGAGTGGTTACAATTGCTGCGAACAATTCGCGAACAATTCTTATCTTTCTCATGCGAATATTTGAATAAATAAAATATTTTGTTTGAATTTCATGAGTTCGAGAAAAATCGAAGATATTAATAGTGAAATTGAGAGGTGCGTTTATTTTTACTTTATAAATGAAAATAAATTTAAAAACATTTACTATTTAAAGGAAATGGATTTGTGATTTGCCAATATCTTTGTTTGAGTAAGATACAAACTCTTCATTTTTATACATTGAAGAATAAAAATCATGCACCCAAACTCAACTTTTGTTGTTTGAAATTAATAAATAACTTGAATTTGCCGCAAAATATATTTCATCCTTACTATCCATTTCGATTTCAAAACGAACAAACCAGAACTGTCAGTGTGTTCGCATGAGAAAACATGTACGAACACGCAAGACAAAATTCGAAAGCAATATAACCGCAACCTAATGTTTTCAAATAACGACAAGAATGTTACGCTCTCTCAACTGGTCTATATACAGTTTGTCAACATTGTGTTTGCAAAACGAAAAAATGTTACAAATGTTTATTAAATGCTCAATAAAAACGATTTAATTTTGAAATAAAAAAAAAAATTAAAATGTTTACAAATAAATTAAACATTTTTCTTCATATTAAACTAAAAATTATTCAAAAATATCGTTAGAACAATAAAATAATTCACAAAAACAAAAATAACACCAAATTTGTTGTGTCAACATTGTGTTTGCAATTTTGCAATTTCTTATTTTTAACGGGACAGAATACCGTTAGATGTGTCTGGGTTTTTCTGTTTATTATAATATTCTGCAAAAACTGTTCAATTTCTTTGTTATTTAATAAAGTAGAGTCTTTTAAGTGAAGGAATAACTAGAATACAAGTGATTAAATATGGCCTGTAAAAGAACAAATTCAAATAATATTGAGTTATTATGTTATAATTACTACCTCGGTAAATCTGCTAAGGAATAAAGTCTAACGTTTAATATTAGGTTAAGAACAATTAATAATATCAAAAACAAAACAGAAAATGAGGATTGCATTAGTTTAAAACCAGCAGGCCACCGTATTAAACCATTGTCTGATCGCCATATAAGAAGAGTATTGCGAATAATTGATAAAAATCCTTTAATTTCCTTACGATCATTGGCATTAGGTCTGGAGAAGCTATTTAATATTGTTGTTAGTCACAAGGCAATAAGAAAAGTGCTATTACAAAACATTTATTCTTCGAAAGTTACACGTAATACACCGTCGTTAATTGTTCAAAAAATTGAAAAATGATTTCAGTTTGCTAGCACACATTTAAAATATGTTTCAGAGTACTAAGATGATGTGATTTTCTGGGACGAAGTGAAAATCAAGCTTTCTTCTAATGCAGGACCCACACAAACATGGTAATAAAGCATAAAATTCCAGAAAATCACACCATCATAGTACTCTGAAGCATATCTTAAATGTGTGCTAGCAAACTGAAATCATTTTTCAATTTTTTGAACAATTAACGACGGTGTATTACGTGTAACTTTCGAAGAATAAATGTTTTGTAATAGCACTTTTCTTATTGCCTTGTGACTAACAACAATATTAAATAGCTTCTCCAGACCTAATGCCAATGATCGTAAGGAAATTAAAGGATTTTTATCAATTATTCGCAATACTCTTCTTATATGGCGATCAGACAATGGTTTAATACGGTGGCCTGCTGGTTTTAAACTAATGCAATCCTCATTTTCTGTTTTGTTTATGATATTATTAATTGTTCTTAACCTAATATTAAACGTTAGACTTTATTCCTTAGCAGATTTACCGAGGTAGTAATTATAACATAATAACTCAATATTATTTGAATTTGTTCTTTTACAGGCCATATTTAATCACTTGTATTCTAGTTATTCCTTCACTTAAAAGACTCTACTTTATTAAATAACAAAGAAATTGAACAGTTTTTGCAGAATATTATAATAAACAGAAAAACCCAGACACATCTAACGGTATTCTGTCCCGTTAAAAATAAGAAATTGCAAAATTGCAAACACAATGTTGACACAACAAATTTGGTGTTATTTTTGTTTTTGTGAATTATTTTATTGTTCTAACGATATTTTTGAATAATTTTTAGTTTAATATGAAGAAAAATGTTTAAATTAATTGTAAACTTTTTAATTTTTTTTTTATTTCAAAATTAAATCGTTTTTATTGGGCATTTAACAAACATTTGTAACATTTTTTCGTTTTGCAAACACAATGTTGACAAACTGTATATATATTTATATATACATACATGTATTATATAATTTAACATGAACAAATATATAATATATATATATATATATATATATATATATATATATATATATATATATATATATATAATAGATCTGTTTTAAGATTTGTCACCATTGTAGTACGACGTGCTTATTCGTGTTAAGCGCATTCAAGAAAGTTGCCTTATTTTAACGCATTTGTTTTTGCTTTGCGCGTTTATTTTGAGCACTATGTGTTTTATTGAAACATTCATATCAAAGAAATACACCTTAAATTAATACAGAATTAAAACGAAAGAAAATTATTCATTGCAGCAATTGAGCGTATTTAATTATAAAGAAACACATTTGCTTGTTTTGTACTTTTTAAAAATGTTACAAAATAAACTTTGAAGCTAACTTTTACAGCGATATGGCAATGTCAAATTTCAACAGTTTAATCAGCTTCGGTACTAGTTAATAGCATTAACAGACGAGCGCACTAAATTATCATTAAGCAGCCTTAAATGATCATTTTAAAAATACCCTGACAGACGGTATAAATTATCATTAAGAAGTTGCTGTAAGGAAAATCTCATCCTCCTCCGTCCATTCGTGGCGCTTCAGTTTATTAATTTGATTCATCTAAAATCAAAAGAAATATAAAATATATAAAAAAAATATGATATATATAAAAATATAACGAGTACTTACAATGTTTCCAAATATGTTTTGTTTACATTTTGACAACCAAATAGCTTGAAATTTGTTCCATTTTTTATTTTATTTCATTCGCATATGCAGCATTACCATTTCTAAAAACCTAAATGACGAATAAATTGGGTTAAATTCGGTCATTTAAAAACCATAAATGATCATTTAAAACTGCTAAATGAGCAAATAAATTATAATTTAGCCCCTTAATGATAATTTAGCTCCCGTCTGTCAATGCTATAAGTTTAATGAACCTCGTTAACTTGTTTTATAAATCGTTCATAATCATCAGTTATGTCCTGCTTCGACTTAGGCAGTCGATTGAGAATACCGATTTTATGACATGCAATATGTTCATATTAAAATTGAGGACGAAAAGTAATATTCGTTTCATACTGCATTCATACTACATATTTTTTTCACACAATACAACACTGGTTAATGTTTTTTTATATGAAAAATGGTATTATAAACGAATGCCGGCATTATTTCATATTTAGTGGTAAAAGCCAATTGTTGAGTGTGGGATTGATTTGAGCTCCAAAAATAATTTTTAGTGTTTTTTCCTGTTAAACAGTTTATAAAATATACTCGAAACTGTAAGTTAACTTAATTGTTTTGAAATGCTGATAATATTTTTATTAGATATATATTTTTATAGTAACAATTTTTTAGCGGAATCTTGTAATTTCTCTAAACTCTGAATAACAACAAACATCAAGATGACATACGTTTTAACAGAAATAGCCATGGAAATGATGGGCCTTAAGTTCTATGACATGGACGGTGATTTTTGTGAAACTAATTTTCAAGGTGAGGATAATAAATGCAAAGACAAGCCAAATTTGCTTCAGGAACTTGGGTTAAAGCGTGATGCACAAGGTAGGCTTGTGAATGACTCTGATAACGATGAGGAGCAGCCAACCACTTCAAGTCGTGCAAAAAAACAAACCCAGTTTACTAGCAAATCTGTTAATGAAGCTCCGGCTAAGGCAGCAAAAAATACAGCTACAGCAGATGTGAAAAACATCACACTCAAGCCAACTACAAAATCCGAAACTGAAAATATTAAGAAACTACAAGCAGGCGTTGGGAAAATGAGCAAAGAAACATCGCCTTTACAGATTCCAACTGAAAAAGTTGCTCCTGGAGTGAAGCAACCAAAAGTCGCTTCACAGGGCGCAATTACTAAAGTTGCACCTGGTAATGTCAAAGTCATTAATGATTCTAACGGCGGTATAGATGTTCAAATAATTACAAAAAAGTTTCCAATACCTGCTTCGACGAGTTTGATTAAAAAAGATGCTGTTGGCAATGTAAAAGTCGGTAATGCAAACGTACAGAAAACTGAAGTGAAGCCACCAACAGCCGCTTCACAAGGTGCAGTTAAAATTGCTCCTGGTAGTCTTAAAGTCGCTAATAGTTCCAACGACAATGTGAATGTTCAGAACATTACAGAACAGTTATCAATAACAGCTTCAATAGATGCGTTTAATAAAGTTGCTACTGATAATGCAAAAGTCGCTAATGAGGGTAGCGAGGGTATAAATGAACAGAAAACTGGAAAAGACCTATCAATAGTCGCTTCAAATGCTACAATTAAGAAAGTTGTTCCTATCGATGCAGAATCTGTTAAGGATTCGAATGATACTATGAAGGAAGAGAAAACTGAAGTAATGCAAAAAACAGTTGCTTTGAAGGACGCAACTAAACAAATAGCTACTGAACCCAAAAAACAATACAAGTTAAAAGAGAATCCAATCTTAAACGAGCCAGAACATATTGATTTTGATGCTGAACTTAATAATATGTTACCAGAAGACTTACATGAAACAAAATATTCTGAATTGAATTCATGTACTGATAAACCTATGAACGATACCACTTCACCTGGTAAGAAGGGGCCATTTATTTCTGTTAGATCTGATTTGGTTGGTCCAAACGGAACACCAGTTTGTAAAAGATCGAACTCCTTATTGAAGAGAACAAATGTTGAATTTGAGAGATTGCGTAATCTTCTTATAAAACATAAAACTGATTACATTAATATTAATGGCAATATACATCATCGTATGGTCTTGATGGGCGCTTATACGCCAGAAAAATTCATGCAGCCATCTTTAGAGTGTGAGGAAAAAAATATGAAAGAGGAAGCAGATTTGCTACGAAAATATAGGTGTATGCTGGAAGATGCTTTGGCAAAGAACAATCCAGCGGAGTACAACAGAATCCTTACCCGTTACAATATCCGCAAGCGTGCGGGAATTGAATAAAAACAGTTGAAACTATTAAAATATATTGTCTTTATTATGAATTTTATAAATTTAATTTTTTATATATATAATTTTTTTTATGCATACTTTTTTTTATATATAATCTTTTTTATATATAATTCTTTTTATATATATAATTTTTTTTTAATAATTTCTTTTATATAAAAATATTTTTTTTTATATTTAATTTTTTTTTATATATAATTTTTATTTATATTTAATTTTTATTTATATTTAATTTTATAATAAATATAATTTTTTTTATATTTAATTTTTATTTATATTGTATTTATATTTATTAGTTCCTTTTTTTAATATTTTTTTTTTAAATTTATATTTTCTCATTTATACTTTTTTTATTACATTTTTTTTTATTTATTTTTGATTTATATTCTGAAATTTTTTTTATTTTGTATTTATTTTTATTTTAAATTTACTTTTATTTTATTGTTTTTTTTTAGTTAATTTTTTTCTTTGATTAAATTTATTCATTTAGATCTAAGTTTGTTGAGTCGCTATATGACTTAAAATTGTTCCTTAATATTTGAAGTGAAATATACATCTTTTAAAAAAATGTATACATATACATATATAAATATAAATATAATTATAATTATAAGAAAACAGATCAAGTGCTGATTAAATAATATATAAGTAAAAAAAACACAACACCTTATGTACAATGGTATACCAAAATAATTAGCTAATGGAATTATATTATTTTATAACGTTTAAATTATTATTTTTAATTTTTTTTTGATAATAATAACTAAATAACTAAAACTAAATATATTAAGTAAAAACTTTAAAATTAAGTTTGAAAAAATTTTTAAATATATATTAAATTATTTATATTTGATATATAAAAAATATATAAAAGCCTAAATACATTTCAATGAAAATTAAAGTATTAAAAATTTAAGT